TACCTCTCCGAGAGGTTGATAAGTTAATAAAACAAACTTCAACAACGACACGTGGCTCAATGCAGCTTTGTTGGCGTTCGACTTGGTGATAATAAGCCACCTGAAAGTATCGTCCTTTTGTTGACCTTTAACGAATATACGGTTCGGCAATTTTGCGCGTGGGCTAACAGCCTCCAATTTCAAAGGGCGGCTGAGGGACGCGGGAGGGAGTGGTTGGGAGAGAGCATGGAAAAGCGAAGAATCATTTAAAAATCAAATCAAAGTCACGCGCCGCAATGTAATCAACAGTCGGCCCGTGTTTCAGCAGGAGAGGGAGATGACAGTGACAAGCAGCAGGCAGTAGGCATGTGGCATGTGGCATGTGGCATATAGAAGCTCAAGGCTGCCGTGCTGCAGGTGTAGCAGAAAGTACCGGGTCCATCCAAACAACAGGCAGCTCCATGTGCCGCTAAGTATGAAAAGAATAAATGGAGACAGGACGAGAGAGTAAGAGAGAGAGAGAGAGAGAGAGAGAGAGGGCGAAAGCTTCTGCTTCCCAGTCACAAGGCATGGCCACGTGTGGGCTAAGCACGGTGCGGTGCATGTGATGGCATGTGAGAGGAGGAGGGGAGAGCGGGCATTGGCAGTGTCAGCGCAAGAAATCCTTCAGCTTTAACCTTGAACTTCACCGTTGCTAAGGCAACACGAGGTGGCAGCTCTCTGCCGCTGTTGCCAGTCGTGCTGTCTCATTCGCGCTGTGCTTTTACGTTAACCTTGCCGCGTTCTGTAGTGGCCGAGTCCTTGAATGTGTGTGCGCCTACGCGCTGGCTATGGAAATTTTCGCCTGCTTCTTGTCGCCGTCTCGCTCGCGCCGCCAAGTTGAAGGGCATTTAACGTTGATTGACGCTAAATAATAACGGCATTTTGTTAAGCCTTGGGGTAAGTACCCCTAAAAAGCTCTCTCACTCTCTGTTTCTCTCTTTCTCGCTCTCGCAAAGCTTTCGCCATAGTAGGGGAGTGTCTTGTGCTCTGCAGCTCGAAAGCTTTGTCCAGCGCCGTTGGTTGACTGTACTTCTGTGACATTGCTCGAACTTTCGCCTTGGCATTGCACGCGCTTCAACTTTGTGCTCTTGCAGCTTTGCGTTCTCTGGCAAGGCCACACAAAAGCCGCAAGTTTGTTGCCATTTCACAAATTTTGTTTAAGTCGGCAAAAGCTCTTCGCTCTCTCTCTCTCTCTCTTTCTCTCTCTCTCGCGCGCGTACTCGTTCTCTGTCTATCTCTTTCTCGTTTTTTTCTGTTGCGCATTTCATTTGGCATTTCGGCCATTTGCTTTGGCGCCTGTTACATTAACAAACTCATGTGCGTCATCTCTATTGTTGTCGCTATCATTCCCTGTCTCTTCCTTCCCCTCCCCCTACCCAGTGGGCCTACCATTCGCGCCACGCAAATTCAATTTGCATTTAGAATAATAGGAGCATTTTCCAGGAAACTGAAAGACGCTCTCCACGTGCGTGGAAAAGGCGCGGGCTTTTCTATAGCATACAACACGGCAGCGCGTGTGTTTGGCATTTGCTTCTGTTTTTTGGAAAGTTACTTGCCACACGCTGCATACGCCTGCCCCTCCCGCTCCTTCGAGGCTTGCCTAACACGCAATTTGTTAGCCGCCTCGTAAAAGTGCCTTCCAGTTCTGCCTTGCCGCTAGCCAGGCCCAAAATTTATGTGAAACACTTTTGTGAATGAAGTTCGTAGCTCGTTTCCGCGGCGTTAAAAATGCTGGGAATGTACGAGAATGTTGCTTCTGGCGCCCTGCGGCACCTTGGCTAATCAACTCTGCGCAGCGTAGGTCAGAGCTAACGCTTGTTTATGAAGCATTGCTCTTTATGGCCACCCTGGCAGCCATTCCATTAACATTTCCCTGACAAGGGAAGTTTTGTTAGTTTGTTTAACGTAGAACTGAAGAGGTTCAAAAAGTCAGGCAATACGGAAAAATAAACGCCACAATTAATCAAGACTTATTGACAACTCTAATTAAATTCAATTGTAAGCATTAGATTTAGCAGCTGACTTACCATTAAGTTTATCATATGGTTAAGAATCTTCCTGCTGATAAAAATTGAAAGAAAATTTCTATTCTCTTTCTATATATTGCGATGTAGACAGGCTTCTGATGATTTACAATTAGTCTTACGTTAATTATCACCTGGTTTATTGTCTTGGGTAACTTGTAAGGCCAAGTTGAATTCCAGCAATTTCCTAAATGTCAGTTACAAAATCTCACCTCTCATGTCTCTTTTGTATTTACTGCAAAGCAAAGCTGTGCACATTCAAAAAGTATTATCTTTTGGATATCTGAACCTATTATCGATTCAATGTCAAGTGTTTGCCCTGAACTTATGCCTGGCCCGCTTTACAGTTCCACAATTTGCTAGCGTCTTCTCGCAAAAAGTCACCCTTGAAATAATTTTGGGGCGCATTTGTCTCCGACTTCGCTTGGCAGCTTCCGGTTCCAGCAACAAAATGCGAAAGCTTCCGGCAAGCAAACGTTTACCGCCCTTCACCCACGCGTAAACTGACGCACTTCCAACACGTGTCTGGGCAACGGTGTGGGTTGGAATAATTTGGAGACGGGGCAGAGTCGTGTTAGGGGCCTTTGACTGTCCGGGGCATTGGCTCGGATGCTCCGTTGGATGCGCAGTTGGAGCTTTGCCTTTTGTTATTGTTGTTGTTTTGGTTTTGGTTTTGGTTTCTGTTTCTGTTTCGGCTTCTGTTTCCCCTGTCATCGCTTGCCAAACTTCAAGGTTAACTTCCTGTTGTCACCGGGCTCCCTTGCGCAACATTGGCCAGCTTGCGCGGGCCTGACCCAAACTAAGACGCCATATTGTTTCTACAGTCATTATGTAATCCTAGCCCTAGTCCGATTGTTGCCTGCGTAGGCGTTTCCGCTTTCCGCTTCGCGGGTTCGTTCAACTCGCTGCCGCTATTTATCTTGCCAAACCCATGCTCGCACCCTGGATCTCTACTATACTCTCCCATACTCTCTCCCGTTTGTATATATATGCAGCAAGGGTCAATGTACGTCAGCGCCGCCACCTGCGTGATACGTTTGAGGTCAATGTCTTAGCTCTCCACACTTCCGTTCTTAGTTCACATGCCGCATTGCTCTTGCCGCACCCCGCCCACACATTTTTGCTGACGATAAGAATTACCTTAGTGCCAAGCTTAGGTTTTTTTTATGCTTTTGCTATAGTTTGATGAATTATTGTTTGGATTTGGGCTGGTATCGTTTAGCTCGTATGGATTCAGTTTCGCTGTAGATGTAGCGGAAGTTCAATAGATAATTTATTCGCGTGCGCACACATTTTTGAACGAAAGTTCCTCGAAAATTGAGTACTTGCTAGGGTCACGACCTTTTTGGGTACCTTATATCGAATATTTTAATAAAATACTTTTGCGCGAATCTGCAATCAACCGACAAACTCTAGTGAGGTAGTTTCAAAATAGAACAAAGCTTTCAATTAACAAAAATTATCTCAATAGAAATAAAATTGGCATAATATTCCAATCGAATCTTAACTGGCCAGGAACTTAAAAAAAATCATCTTCAAATTTGACCAACCCCTTTTTTTATTAATTTGCATTTGCTTTCCTTTCTTTTAATTTTCGAACCAAACCTATTATTGGCTAAATTTCGATTTTGGATTTGATTATTTGATGCCAGTTGATATTCATAAACTTCTAGTCCAAATATATCGATTTTCGGGTGTTGGTCAAAAATGCATAGTGCTTAAAATTGATTGAAATGGGTATATGCTGCCTTTAAAAGTTTATTTAAAAATTCGTACCCTTCAAAAGAGATCATCTTCTAATCTGCATGTCTTTGCAGTTCCAGCAGCTGTGTGGCTATGTGGAGAAAGCTTACAGACCATCTTGATATCCTTTGGCCAACTTGCAATCCTTATCCTACCAACTTAGAATGTGTAAAGGTCGAAAGTCCTTCAAGGGGCTGACGAAAGGAGATTTCTCTCTGTAAAGAAACAATCGGCCGTGTCCTTGCGGATCATGATGTCTTTTGACCAGCCGATATTCCTTATCCTCCCGATTCCGAATATACTAAGCAGAGGACGAATATTCTTCAAACAGCCTAGATTTTTTTACAATTCTTTCGTAAATTAACAAAGTCATAACTCGGCTATATCTTTGCGGATCCTGACAATTATTATGTTAAACAAAACGTATGAATAAGGACCACAAACTGGCCAAGGGACATCCAAATCGTCCTTGTCGTTTCCGATTTATGGCCAATTTTCTAAAAAGGACATTTTTTAAATGGCCATTACTCGGCCAAATCCTTAAGGATATCGGAAGGATATGCCTTTTTAGACTCGTGGGGAGCGAGACTATCGATTGGCATTTAAGGATTTCAAGGATTCGACAAAAAATTTCACCAAAATTTATCATAGGGGGTTAGTCGCAAAATTGGCCAAAATCGAAAATATCCGGGCTAACTTCGGCATTTGAAGGACTAGCGGAATGTCCTTTGGCCAGCTGATAGTTCTCACCCTCCCATTAAAGAATTTACAAGCCAAAGGACGAAAGTCCTGCAGACAAAGAAGTTTTAAGGACAATTTTGTAAACAAAAAATAGGCTATAACTCGGACGTATCCTTGCATATCCTGGCGAGTCATATGTCTAAATAATTGTATCAAATAGGACTACCGCCTGGCCAAATTTCATTAGGATCGTCCCTGTAGTTTGAGAGATATTCAAGGATATGTGTTTTCAGTCCATTTCCGTGCGCTCCGCGACTGAAATTTTACAAGTGAAAATACAAGTCCTATGATTCTTAGATGACCCCATATTTTTTTGATGCAGATCGATTCAGTGGGTCTATACGACCCTAACGCACTAAGTCCTTTGAAAATCTGCAAGGATATGACCGAGTTATGTCCTTTTTTCTTTATATAAAATACTCTTATATATTTTTCGCCCTGTTTAATTTAAATGTGTTTTTATCTTTTCAGATTCACAAATTAAGGACCACAATTAATTTCAAGGACCTCCACGAGTAACAACGCAATTTTTTCCAGGATCGGACTTTAATTAGGATAGATATAGCTATTTTAAGTTCAAATAAGCCAAATTTATAATTTATGCACGTTTTGTATAATTTTAAGAGAATTAATTAAGAGAATTAGTATGGAAAACAGGACATTTTATATATACCCACATAAATAAATCAATTATTAAAAAAAAAAGAAAGAAAAAAAGAATAAAACTCCTGTTTTTTTATCAATTAATTAAAAAATCAACGGAATTTGGAAATCCATTGCATACCCGCACGGGGCGTCTGTTGGCAACCGCTGGCTGCCGAGATTTTTCCTAAAATCTGCCAAAATACCAGGCGAACAGAAATGCCCAGAAGGTCGACAACAAATATTTTTAGTTGCCGAAAAAATTTTATTGCATACCCAAAAGGGCGCCCTCGTCGCCGGCTGGGTCCCCCAAATTTTAGTTAAAATTTCCCAAAAACACCAGGCGAACAGAAATGCCCAGAAGGTCGATAAATATTAAATTTGCGGCCGAAAAATGACGTAGTAAAAAGGGCACCCTCGTCGCTGGTCCTAAATTTGCACTAAAATTTCACTCAAGTACCAGGCGAACAGAAATGCCCAGATTATTATTATTATGTTAAGAGTGCTGTTAGGCGACTGTTAAACAACAGCTCCAATTGCAGATAATGCAAAAGGGCTCCTGAAAGAAAAGGCATACATGTTTTTGGACCATTTCACTGCGCATTTTGCAGGGATCTGATCCTTTAGGTTCACAAGGACTATATCGATGGTATGGTATAACCAAGGATATGGTAGTCAACTAGAAACCATCCAGTTGCTGGGGCGGCTGTAAAAAAAAGAACACATATTTTTGGACCATATTCTTGCTTATTTTGCAAGAACTTGGTCATTTAGGCTCGCTAGGACTATATCCTTGGAACGGAATAAGCCAGGATACATTTGTCAACTAGGTGCCAACTCAAGCGATTATTTGCTGATCGTAGGCAAGCTTTAAAATGCAAATTCTTAAATTGTTCCCCTTTTCTAATCCTCGTATCTCGCCGATCTTGAAACTACACAATTATCAGTTAATTATATGTTGTCCATGCTGAAAAATATGAAATGAAAATTATATTAGTTTGTGTTAACTAAAACACATCGATTAAATTACGTTTCATTCGGAAAAGACTTGCCTTTTAGGATTCGTGAAAGCCTATTCATTGTATGGATTCACCAATGATACATATGTCATCTGTGTACCAACAATACTGAATATTTTACTCTCCATGGGTGTGGCAGAATTGGGTGAAAGACAGCATGAAAAATTAATACGTTTTTGTAAACTACAATATATCGGACTGATATTGCAAAGGCGTACCTTTAGGATTAGCGAGCGTTTGCTGAATGTGGTATGAAATAACCAAGGTCATCTAGATGCCAACAATATTGAATGTTTTCTTGTCCATGTCAGATTTGGCTCTAAAATACAAAATGAAAAATAAATTAGTATTTTGTAGAAAATGGAAGTTGCGCCTAACTTTGTGTCCCCTTTGGGCTCGCTCGATATAATTGAGTGTCCGTTTAGCCGCAGTAGGCAATTGCTCATTAATGCATGTTCCCTAGCATGCACAATGTATATATTTTTTACACTATACAAATAATAGTTGTTGTTTGTGCGTTTCCATAAAGGTATATCATTCGAAAATAGTACCGCAGTTGCCCTACTCATATGTTAATAGCTTTAATAGACTATAGCTCGCAGCATAGCAACATGCCCAATTGACTAATGTGCTCATACTAACAGAATAAAGTTACTCAAGTCCATAAAATCGGCGCTCAGAAAATAGAGCAGGCGAACGACCAGACGAGAACTTTAATCCAAGCTGTTATTGATTGGACCAATCAGCGATCAGCACCCAAAAGAGTCGTGAGTGCATGAGCGTAAGCAGATAAATGACAGCGAACAGACACACAAACAGGTGTTTGCCTGCTTATCTCTGGCTTTGGCGCATCTCTGCGCAGACACGTGTTTGTGTGGCTGTGTATGCTTGCCAATGTGTCGCATCACTCTCACTCGAATTTCGATCGCTTGCTTATTTTCTGTGCGCCGGTTTTTTCGTCCACTTAAGGCACTCACAATTTAACACTCTGTTAGCTCGACCACAGTAGTCAGTATGAACGGAGTTTTTATTATGAATTCTATTAGTACATTCTATTATTAATCGTCTTTATTAATTGCCTTAGCAATTTGTTGAAACAAAAATGCAAGAAAATTTAAAGAAAGCTTGGCTTTTAATATTGCATTGCTACATAATAAAGTAAACGTAGAGTACAAATCTTGTGTCCATCACTATTGCGCACACATATTATGTACATACATACATATTTTAAGTTTTGCTTTGCCTTACATACAAACATACATATATGCAAAACACTTTCTCGGCGCACAGAAATTAGAGCAAGCAATTGACCTCAAGATTAATTCATCTTTGAAGCAAAAACAAAAGCTCGTAGATAACGCATAAGCAACCACACACAGGCATAAGTAGATATCCCATCATAAAATACACACCCAAACATATGTATGCATAGATAATCGCAAAATACATATGTACATGCATATGTGTATATGACTGCTAGTGCATTATCTCCTTATGCATATGGCTTCACGAATATTGTCTATTGAAAGCTAGGCATGCTCTGTTTTCTGTGCGCCCATTTTTTTTGTCCGCTTAATGCTCGCTTATGTTAGTTCTGTTTATAGTCTGAAGTTTGAATTGTTGCTGGGTGGTAACTAAACAGATTTAATTATGATACATTGCGAATTGACATTTATTTGTGTATACATAATAAACACTAACCAAATTTTACAAAAATTGCGGCTCTGACAAACATTCTGATATTTGACTTTATATATTAAACAATTCTTAAATTAGAAATTAGTTACCCGAAATAATAAAGAAATGATGAAAACACCAATCGTAATCTATATGAGCATGAAAAGGAAGATTTGACCTACTTTTCGAAAATAATTATGTTTTTTAATTAAGTAACACGCTTGAGTGCCATAATATTTCTATATGTATATTCGCTATAGCTAATTCTGATGAAAAAGTTATTCCGTGAATAATAATTATAATTAAATAATATAATCACTTTAAGCACAGCCCATAACAAGTAGAGATTTCTCACGCTTCGCATAGCGATAATATCTACATAGTTTTTACTTTTGGATGAACCGAAAACTCATACAAAATTCTCGGAAAATCGCGAGAACATGCACCGCCTGTTTTTGAGATACATTTCTGTACCCTGAACCCATTGAAAAATGGATAAAAGGGTATAATGTGTTTGAGCAAGTGTATGTAACAGGCAGAAGCATCTTCGACATCATTAGGTACATATGCACAGCATTATTAACCCGTCTCTCGAAACCCGTCTCTCTTTTTAGCGAGTAACCAACTTTGACATGTAGCTTTTAGATCTAGTAGATGCGGATCAAGTTCAGGGTATCCCCTAGTCGGACACGTCCGACTAGAGCACGCAAACTTGTTTGGTCTGTGTCTGTTCTTGAAGTCTTCAGTGTTATGCTATATAAGCAATTTTTTTTTTTTTTTGTTTTCCATAAATATTTCCTATGTAACTCGTTGTCAGCCTTTGGGAAGTTCACTTGCTTGTGCCATTTTTCAAGGTTTCAGCAATTATTCAATACACTCGCTTCCAGCTGCTCTCCCCCTCTCACTATCCCCCTCCCCTCCACGCCTCGAGTGCCTGCTCCTAACTCGCAAATGTGCCAACATCAACGGGTTTCGGTGTCGCTGCGCTGTTTCCTGGAACGGACCTCAGCTGAAATGTAAACAGAACTACGAAAATATAGCGCACAATTTTCACGCTTTCATTGCATGACGACGATTCAAGTTCGGCGAAATGCTGGCTATAGTGAAATATCGGGGGTACCGGGGGCTATGGGCTCGGCCAATGACCAATGTCCGTTCGCCGTGGTCGAGACAATTGCGACGTTGATGACGCACTTAAAACTGCTGAGACTCGCACTAGGCACTCGCGGGCAGCGTGAATGACCCGCGGCCGGAAAGTGTCTGCTATTGTAAGGGGGAGGGGGGGCTGGTGGTCACGGGGCTATAGCGCAGTCTTAACACAATTAAAATCGTGTTGGAGAGGTGCAGGGAATAGGCCAGGCATATGGTAATTGATTGCGCGGTGACTTTGGCAACGCTTGGCTAGACTGCGACAGAAAACACATCACGCCCTTGCCCAATTCCAATTCCATTTCCACTTCCACTTCCATTTCCATTCATCGGTGTCAGCGCTTTTTTGTAAATATTTAACAAAGATTATTCTAGATACCCTAGAAACGAAATGGAAATTTGTCCCATAGCTTGCTCACCCTGAACTTGGCTGAACTTTGAGGGCTCTGCTCGTTGTTTAGTTTTCGTTCCTTCTGTAGGCTGACATTGAAATTTTAATCGTGAATTGTGTTTACCTACATGCTAAATAGATGTTCATTTCCAATATGAGAATTGACCTTTTGTTATTTTAGTTATTAATATGTTTTGTCGTAATCGCGAAGCTTATTTGCTGAACTCTAGCAGATGGCCATTTTCAAAAGTTTTAATTTTATTTCTATTAAACTATTTCATATTCTATATAAAATACGTATGTACATATAATATATCAAAATATCGAACCAACAAAACCTACGAATAGCTCAAACATAATCGCAAAATAATTTTACATATGTATTTTGATTGCGGCTTTCTTTCATTTGGTAATTATTGTGTTCTTTCATGTATTGGTTATAAATTTCACGACTTGTTCAACACATGCAATAGGTGAGGTCCAAGCCAAGACCAGAGTGACCGGCGTCCCATGGAACGTCACAAACGACGCCATCGAACGCGATCTCCGCCTAACAAAGGTCAGAGTTCCGATCAACTTTCTCAGCAGCCGCTACGCCGATAGCCTGATGTGGCATTTGAACGCGAACGTCCTAGTCCTGACCTCATCACAGAAAAGAAGCGCATCCAAGGGATAAGCCCCCATCGTATCATCTAAACACCCTACAGTATTTCCTAATGGCCTCAATTCCCTTCATTGTAAATAGCCCATATTCGTAAATACCCTGTAAGCTATAAACCATGGAACTAACCTTATTTCAC